CCTCTGCGAAAAGCACGGCAAAGCCATGGAGGCCATGGAGAAGCTGAAGTCCGGCCTGCGCTTCAGTGAAGTCGCCTCGCAGTACAGCGAGGACAAGGCCAGGCAAGGGGTATGTGCTGCGCCCACGGGCGTTCCCCGGCCAGGGGACAGCGGCCTTTGGGGCCAGCGGCCTTTGGGGGAGCCCAGTCTCCTCCTGGCTTTCAGCACTGCATGCCTGCAGGAGACTGGTTTTGGGAATTCTTTGCCGGCTGCCTTCAAAAAGCTTGTTTCGATAGCTTCGAGCAAAGCGTTGCCAGCGGGGTGGGCAAACGCTGGTTGTGGTCAGCCTTAACTGCTAGGCAAAGGCACAAGTAGGCGCCAGCAGCTCAGCCGTAAATACTTTTCTGCAGCAGCGCTGAGGCACGCGAGCCCTGTGCGGCAGCAGCAGGGCAGAGCCCAAGGCTGCCATGGCTTTAGCCGGCCGGTGTTTGCCGGGAGGCAGCCCCGTGCGAGGAGCTCTTTGTGCCGTCCTCCCTCGCAGTGGTGCACGCTGCCAAGGCAGATGCTGCCGGGACAGGTTTCTTCTCCCACGGCCACATCGCCCACCCTCCCTGCTGATAAAGCCGCTGTTGCGGTGCAGATTCTCAAAGCTTAACCCTGATGGTTCCTTGTTCCAGGGAGACTTGGGCTGGATGACCAGAGGCTCCATGGTAGGACCTTTCCAGGAAGCAGCATTCGCCTTGCCCGTGAGCAGCATGGACAAGCCAGTGTATACAGACCCTCCTGTCAAAACAAAGTTCGGGTACCACATTATCATGGTGGAAGGTAGAAAATAAAATATCAGTGACCATTACCTTGTTGACTGCTTGACTCCTGAGAGCTTCCCGGACACCTTGACCTTGGAGCAAGTTGGTCGTAACCAGCAGCATGCTTGGAGGCAGCCTGCTGTCACGGCAGGACGCGCAGATTACAGCTGGCAGAGAACAGGGCTCTGCCTAGAGAGGTAAAGCGTTCCCTGGAAAAGGTGAAATAAGAGCGTTTCACAGTTGTTGAAATCTGCTTTGTCTGGCAGGCCAGCCTCTTGCTTTTCCTGTTGCGGAGACAGCAATCTCTCCACCTGAATGAGCTGCTCAGGCTTTTCTCTGCAAATGTAAGTGATAGGGGTTCCCCAGGGCCTCGATCTTTATCCGCATCCTCGCCAGGGAGGATGCAGACAGCTCCTACGCTACGGTTTCTGCTCCAGAGCTCAGACTTGGACTGGGAGGACAGTCCCTTTGGTCGAGGGGGGGTAACGCTGCAGCCAGAGCTCGTGGTCGCTGCCCCGGGCAGGCGCCTTGCTCTTGCAGTCACCCAGCAGCGGCGTGGGCCAGGCCAGCGCTGGAGGCACCTTGGCTGAGCAGTAGCAGGGCAGGGGAGTTGGGGAAAGGAGTCCTCCCGAGTACAACATTACCCATGCCTAAAGCTACACCTTATCCACTCAAAGCTGGGGGAAGAAATTGTGTAACTTAGGCTTGAACGAGAGGCAAGTCACTAAACGCTTGCTTTTTGCTCCTGCATTCCCCCACTGCTAGGTGTGCAGTGCACATCTCAGGCTGAGGCGCAGCCTGCTAGGCTTTCTAGTAAAACTACCTGAAGGACAGCATGATTGATGCGAATGAGACAGCTCATTATGTCTCCTGCCCCTTGGATCTTAGCAAAGAAATATCCCAGTGCAGTGATTTCCCATTCCTCCTGAAAGGCAGCACTCAAACTAGGCACGTCTCTGGCAACAGACACCGGCTTTGTTTGCAGGAGAGCACCGTGCAGTGTCAGAGGGCTCAGAGATGGGGAGAAAACATCAAAGAGAACAAAAGGCCTTTCCCAAGATGACAGACAAGGAAGAGGTGAGACCACAAGCAGGGCAGGTCTTTCTCCTCCCTCCCTTTCTGGGGTGTTTGTTTTGTTAATGGAAAGCTCAGAGAGGCCAATGAATGATTGCAGAGCTCTAGTTCATTAATAGTTTGTTATGAAAGGCAGACAGGCCTTCCCACAGTAGAAGAGCAGATGTGGCCTCGTTTAAGGAATGCTCTATTAATAAACTACTTGTTTCCAAGCTACCAGAACTTTGTTCTACCTATTAGGAAAAGCACATTGGCACATCTCCTGTACCAACAGGATCATTGTTTGTGTTTGTCATGTCTCCTAGTACAAAGGATTCAAATTCAGTGGACCAGTTTCTTCTCCAAAAACCGCAAAACTTAGCCAGGTGTGCAAGTGTCCCTTGCTATCACACTGTAGGCAAACTTGCTAGGCACTAAATGTGCACATGGCGTGAGGGAGCATCAAAATTCACTGCCGTATTGTTGCAAGGGAAGACCATACAGAAGATGGTCACAGTGATGAGCGTACCCCAGCCAGGTTTATCTCAGTGTGGTGGCAGAGGGGCAAGTCAGATAAGCAGGGCATGGCAAAAAGCCAGAACAAGGTGGTTCTGATTTTAAGCTGGCATGGTTCTGATCTATGAACCCACTTTATAGCACCTACAGTACCAGAAAGAAATATTTAATCTGCAACAGCTAAACTATATGTGGGAAGAGGGTTAGAGGATTTCCTTACCAGAGGATAAGCAGCTCAAAACTTTAAAATCAGTATTTCCCCCTCCTGCTGACTTTGTGCAAGAGCAGGCTTTGACTGTGCTACTTGGAGGGAAATAAAGATGGGGGGGGCCAAACAAGGTCAGACTGGAGACTCCTTTGAAGTCCTTGACTCTTCTAGCAATACCAAAAGGTTTGAGGTGTTTAGCACCTTGCAGCAGTCAAGATTTAATTGCTATTCCAGTCCTTCTGCACCCACCCACCTACATACCCATTCTGCAGCAACCGCAGGCTGGCAGGGATTTGAGCAGAAGGGTTTCTGCAGTGCCACATTCGGCGTTAGACCTGGTACCAGGCAGATGGTGTGCTGGCCTCCATCGCTTGGAGGATTTATAGCAGCAACCACCTTTTTTTTTTTTTTTGATCCTCCACAGCAAATACATTCTCAGACCAACTTAAAACCAGGTTGCAGTAGCTCTGTTCTCTCCTTTGCATCAGCATCCAGCTCACCCAAACGGTGGGTGACGTTCAGGCAGACAAATCTGCTTATTTCAAGTCAAGGAGGGAGGAACTACATCAGCTTGAGTTTAAACAGCATGCAGCTGCCATGGAGCCGTAGCCTCAGCATCCTCTCCAGAGAGAGGCGGTGACAGAACAGCGGCCGGGGAGCCGTAGCCTCAGCATCCTCTCCAGAGAGAGGCGGTGACAGAATCTGAAGGGCAGAAAAATGAAGCCAGGGCTGCAAGCTTGGAGAGGGGTTTAGATATAAAGAAGGCTTTTATTAAATAATCAGACAAGAGCATGAACTGTTTTCATTTTTGTGAACTGAGTCCACAGTGAAGTCCTTTCCCCAGCACCTAACAGCTAGATTCTTAGACCATTTCCTCATGCAGGAGGAGATGCTGAATTTGTTCAGTCACCATGAAATTAGTCTATATTGCAGCCATCAGTCTTCAGCTAGTTCAAGGAAGAAAAAAAAAATATCACAGTGATGTACTTCAGACAAACATTTAACGAGAAAAAGACTGTACTTGATAAAAGGTATAGATATTTCATTTCTGGGCTAGCTGTCTATATAAGTTTAAAGTCATAAGCATAACTTCAGGATCTCCACTTTTTATGTCAAGAGCTTGCAGGAAACAGTTCAATGCCTCCTGTAGTTTTCCATCATCCTTAAGTTTCTTCCCACTGTCTACCAAGGTATTGTAGTCACCTACAGCAGGAGGGGAACTCTGACCAACCTCTTTTTCGGAGACGCTTTCCTGGGTGAAGTAGTCTATCTGCTCCCCTGACTGAAGCTCAGTGTCACCAGTGGATTCCTCCTGAGTTGACTCTGTCTCATCTGCTTCAGACTGCTCAGAGGGCAGACTGTCCAGATGGAAGGATTCCTCAGCTGTGTCAAGTGTTTCTCCAGCAGGTTCTTCTTCAGGCTCAGCAGATTCCCCACTACACTCTTCAGCCTCTTCCACAAGGTAGTCTTGCTCCTCATCACTGTCATCATCATCTTCTTCCTCAGTCGTTCCCATGATTTCTCCAATATCCTCAACCTCATCAACCACCTTGTTGATTAGAGATCGCCTGGAAGCGGTAGACCTGTTACCACTGTTAGTTAGCTGGGGAGAAAAGATGGCTTTTGCTGTTCTTCTGTCACATTTAGGAGTGGATGCACTAATTCCTTCCAGAAATTGATGCAGAGGGCTGCTCAGGGGAGAGGGTCTTTTTTCAGACTGGTTTTCCTCCAAGATCATAATGGAATGGTCTTCATCCTCACTGTCTGAAACAATTCTTCTTAAGCATTTCTTTCTACCAAAAGTGAGGGCATCAGTGCTTTCCTCTGATGCTTCACTCCCTTGCAGGGAGTTATTTGGCTCTTCTTCAGCTGTGTGACAGGGTTTTCCACAGTTACTGTTCTCGCTTAAACAAGTTTTTGTTGGAGATTTTTTTGTTGGAGATTTATAAAAGCTTTCTGCTTTTAGTTGGAAGCCCTCCTTTTCTGGGTGCTCCAGTGATATTTCCCTATTTGAGGCATCTCATCTTCAGACTCTTCCAAGACCAGATTGAAGTCAACTTGATCCTGGAGAGAAGGTACAGACATACTCTCCAGGCTGGTTTCCAGCACTTGAGACTTCTGGAGCCCAGCATGGATTTCTGGCATAATGTTTGATAAACTTGGTGCTGCAGCAGCCAAAGCTAGCTCGGAAACGTCATTCTTATCTGTCCCAAAGGTAGTATGTGGGCCAAGTACGTGATCTGACATTTCTGCATCTCTTAACCTTTTGGGATCATCAGCCATACCAGACTCATTAGAGGAACGTCCAGACAGGCTGTTCCCTGCCTCAGTCAAGCTGTCTGAATTTACATGGGAACACTGTTTCTGTTCAAGACTCTGACTCTCTTTATCGAGTGGATAAAGTCCAGGTGATGATGGTATAATGCTTGATTCAAGCTTTTGCTCAGATTCTTGACTATTGGATTGTTTCACTGTCTTGCTGGTATTAAGCAGCTCTGTATCCATAGTAGACACATCTTGTGCCAGTTTCTCTTCACCCAAGTCATCGATAGTCAGAGTCATCATTTTGGAGCTGACATTAAGAACCTGAACCTCCTTGTCCTCTGTAAGATCAATAACTTTGTCATTTTCATCTTTATCAGGTACTGGTGGTGAAACAAAGTGATTTATGTTGTTCAGCCCTGGAGACAACTTCTTTGGTTTGGAAACCAGTTCTGCTGGCCTTTGCCACATCTCTTCACAAGCATTTCTGATCCCCTGCATCCTCTGGTCATTAAGCTGAGACTCTAACTGAACTAGCTCATGGGCTTTCTGTACCCTCTGTTGAATGTACTGATGGGCTTCTTCGCTCTCAACCTGCTCCTCGTGAGCCATTTCCCTCGTATATATCAAGTCATGATCAGAAATGCCAAACATTTCCAGAGAGTGCAAGTAAGCAATGTGTTCATCCAGCTGTGGGTCAGTCTTTCTTTGGGTGGCGTGCAAAGACTGCAGCTGGATCTGAGTTGCAGATGTTCGAGTATCTTCTAATGTGAAAAGCTCCCTTAGTTCCTGTTTGGAAAAATATCTAAATGGGTTCTTTTTGTCACCGGTAGTCTGTCTTATTAAAGAATCCTTAAATACCTGTCGCCTGTATATTTTCTCTTCCACCGTACCGCAGGTAATCAGTCTATAAATTACTACGTTCTCTTTTTGCCCGATCCTATAAGCTCTGTCTACAGCCTGAGCATCTGTAGCCGGATTCCAGCTGGGA